AAAAAAAAAGCCCACTGGTAAGGTAAACAGGGTAGTCTCCTCCTGGGCACACCAAGGCCTCCTATGAGACCAACAATGAATCAGTTCTAAGTAGCGGTTCTTCTTAGAGCATGAAACCCGACACCGAGGCTAAGCATGACTCCCAAAGACTGGGGACAGAAGACAACCAGTGTTATTAAATAAATCATTTTTAAAAATTAAAAAAAAAAAAAAAAAGCCCACTGGTAAGGTAAACAGGGTAGTCTCCTCCTGGGCACACCAAGGCCTCCTATGAGACCAACTATGAATCAGTTCTAAGTAGCGGTTCTTCTTAGAGCATGAAACCCGACACCGAGGCTAAGCATGACTCCCAAAGACTGGGGACAGAAGACAACCAGGTAGCTCAAGGAATTGAGAGACTTAACACAAGTCTTCTGAAGACCACTGGTCAATTATCACAACCCATTTTCTCTCCACAGGAGTCATGGTAACGGGCACTGTGAAAACTAGCATACACATTCATCCTCTTGGGCACGGCTTTAATGTTCAAGGCATAGAGGGTTTGCGTCTTACTTCCACTCCTCTGGTGGGTGGGCGAGCTCATACTTCTCCCTCACACTGGAGACACCCATGTCCGCGTGCAGCCAGTGCACCTCCTCCGACCGCAGGTGACTTAGGCGGAATCCGTAGCAGGCCACATGCTTTACCTTGTGGCTGTCCACTATCTTCTGAATGATACCCTAGAAAACACCCCCACAGAAAGGTCAGTCACACACCAGAAGTCTAGTTATCAGAAATCTCTCATAAGCTCACCAAGGTAAGTAAATTATTTAATCTAACATAGGATTTTTTGTTTCTCAAGCAGTATTTTTATGAACAAGAAAAAACTTGGGGGATGGGGCACAAAAAGAGGCTCCTCTCAATACTCTAAATACAGCAATCTAAACTTGAGACATTTCTGCAACGCCACCATCCCATCACTGCAGACTACCAGAAAGAAGCCCAGAGTTGTATCAGGTACTTCCTAAGGACCGGACCCACGGAGAACCCACTCTAAACAACAGCACACTCTCAAAGACCAGGCTGCGATAGTAATACTTCTTTCTCCTCAAACACAACACAACACAACACACACACACAGAAATATAAAATTAATACAATGTTTGCAGTGACATTAAAAACCTATGAGATGGCTTGGCATCCTACCACTCGGGAGGGGGAGAGGGAGGAGGAGGTGGAGGCAGAGACAGAGGGAGCTCTTTGAGATCGAGGACAGCCTAGTCTACATAGCAAGATTCAGGACAGCTGGGGATACAAGGAGGACCCTGTCTCAAAAAAACTAAACAAAACAAAAACCCAGTGAGATGTTCTAAGAACTGGCCCTCCTAACTAACTTAGTCTGCTCTGTATGTATACATTAGCAAGCAGTTTAAAATGCCCCCCAAGCCCACTGCTTCCAGTACATGTGCCCAATAAATACAGATGACAGCCACCTTTGAATAGGTCGCTAGGAAGGGAATGAGAAAAGGCTGTCTTGCCAGGTGTGATGCGCATACCTTTAGTCCCAGCACTCCGGAGTGCCTACAAAACAAAGGGTGCCCACAAATACAGCAGATGCAGAGACCGCAGGGATGTGATGGAGCCACCTGCTGCACTGTGGACAGAGTAGGGGAGGCCTGTGGCTGCTGACCTGCACGTAGATAAGGCCGGCGGTCAGCTAGCTGCTGCTCAGACCACTCAGTACTGGGCATGTTCACTTCTTAGGTCTGTTATAGGTGGGCTCCTGTAGGCACCCATGATCAATAGAGAGAGTGGCAGAGGTGGAACAGAGAGATAAGACATGGCATCAGAGTATCATCGACAAAGGACCAGGCCACAAGAGTCCAAGACAGATTTATAAGATGGACTCTGGTGTGGTAGTGTCTGGGATACTTGTCTGTAAACATAAAATCCATAGTTTACACATAGTCTGCAGGCCTCTGTAGAATTCTATCATAAAATGTCCTTTCTGCATCCTGGATCCAAATGCCTAACATTTCTGATGGGCAGTATAAATGAGTTCAAGCTGCACGCCACACAAGGGTGTCTAGCCACAAGGGGCCAGTCAGAACTGACATGAGCACAAGCATAGTCTTCAAATCCTGTGCTCTGGGTGGGGCTTTCCCCAAGGAACATGGTTAACTTCTGGGACTCTCAAACAAAACCAAAGTCTGCTTGTGTAGCTCCTCCTTACCAACCCACAAAGCCTCCACTACACGGGGTGGAGACTGGTGCTGCTCTGACAGTCCCACAAAGTCGCCCTTGTCTCCCTCTCACAGCCCTGCTAACCCTACACCAGCACTAGTCACCTTGGTCCAGCAGAGGGGTGAGGATGGGGTCACATCACCTCCTTGCAGCTCTATGATTCGAGAGCACCCTCTCTTGTTTAAATGTAGACTCCACGTATCACCCCAGATCTAATCATCTGTCCCTGCCCACCTGGTCTATCCTTCCTCACCCAGCTATCAGATAAGAGACAGTGCAGAGCACAAATCATTTTTTTGGTAAATTTTTATTCAATTTTTGTGTATTTCATACAGAACATCCTAATAAATCTTAATCCTTTATACCCCATCCCCACTGGTACCTCCCATAGCCCCCACCCCACTGGAATTCACACATTCTGTCATCTGTGTTAAGGCTTATCCTGTCAAGTTAGTGTCCCCAGACGTACCCCAGTGAAAGTTCATCCACTGGGATCTAGGCAGCCTATCTAGAGTACCTCCCTTTAAGAAGATCAGCTCTTTCTCACCCAGCAGTAATCAGATACCAATAGTTCTTCAACTAAGAGTGGGGTTTGTTGGCCATTTCCAGAGTTCTGTGCTGGGTTTCTGTCTGTCTGAGTTTGCATGGGTCTTGTGCATGCTGACACCATTGCTGTAGGTTCATATGAGCAGGGTCCCAGGAGCTTGTAGGACTCTATTTCCATATAGTCATCCACCTCCTCCCTGACTCTTACAATCTTTCCACCCCCTCTTCTGCAATGGTCCCTGAGCCCACTGGGCCGGTGGGGTTTAATATAAGTCCTGTCCAAGAACCCACACTCTGCAGACTCTTACTCCCTACGCTTTGGCCATTTGTGACCTTTTGTGTTCCTGGTCCTCTGTTGCATGAGGGAACTTCACTCATTAATGACAACTGAGATATTCATTAGTGTCCTCTTTTACCCCTTGTTCTAGGTTCCATGCGCCTTACATGTAGAGGTTGTATCTTAGATGTGCCACTTAGGTGTGGGCAATTCACAATCTCTGTGCATGACCAGTTGTGGAGCTCTGTGATACTCTCTGTGAAAAGTAAGTTTCTTTGATGGGTGGTGTCTGGGATACTTGCTCATAAATATAAGAACCCATATTTTGCACATAGTAAGAAATTACATTTGTCTAGGGATGTGACAGCCTTGGGGATTTCTCTAAGATCTATGGCCTCTCCAGCCACATGTATTTGGCTATGTTTACAGTACCACCCATGAGTTTCCTCCCATTGAGTGGGCTTTAAGTCCAATTAGGTAGCTGTTGATTACCCCCAAAATAAAAGTGCCTCTACTGCAACCAATGTCATTTGCTGTGCTGGTCATTGATGTGCTTATTAGGCCTTGATGTTGGGTTGGACCATTGGTTGATGTTCTCCCCTAGCAGTTTGTATAGTGCTCTCCAAAGCTATGAGAGCTAACCTTCAGGTAGACGGCTTCCAGGTCAGTTCCAGCTCCATTGCTCCAAATCCTGTGTCCAGATTATGTCCTATCTTCAGCAACAGGGTCTTACCTTGAAGTTCTGGGAGGTAATCAAACTCCATGTATCAACCCAGATCTAATCACCTATCTCTGCCCACCTGGTCTACCCCTCCTCACCCAGACATCAGATGTAAGCCATACAGAGCACAAATCATTTCTCATACTGCTATTTGTCACCATTCACATGCTATAGGAAATCCCACATCTACGGGTGCTGCGCCTGATGACCCAAGTAGCTTTCATCTCCTTAGAGCTAAGTGGGCAGCTACAGGAGCCCACCTATAACAAACCTGACATGGTGAGAGTGGCTTAGCCCAGTGCTGCAGTATTAGGAAAAAGGGGGTTTCTAGTCTTGGTGTTTTATGGAGTAGACAGTGAGTGGGGCTGCATTTGGTCACGCTGCCTGAAGAGACCCCCGAATGACCTCAGCTTGGGTTTCAGTAGCAAAGCATCCCCATACTACAGCGCTTCTTGATTAACCACAGCTCACACTTTCACGCTCCAGGAGCCAGTTAAAAGTGGTGGCACGGAGAGCTTCCTTCCCCTGGTCCTTCTGCCTTTTCCTGAGGCATCTGCACCATGTTCCACTGCTTGCCTCACTCTCTAGTGCTCTTAGAAATTTCTATGGGCAGCAAAAAACACTATGAACACACAAGTCTCAAGTTCCTAAGTAGGTACTACTGGATGAATACACTTGGCAACTTGCATGAGTAATTATGAAAATCAGATACTTTGCTTTAGATAACTAAAGAGTAAGGTTGGAAGCATTCAGTAAGGAATGGACTCAAGACACACTACACTACTAGTCTACAAAATGCTACGCAAGTTCCCATACACAATATTTCTGGAACAGACACAGGTTGAAGCCTGTCTGCCTCTAGGGAGACAATGAGACATGGGTGTATAATATACCACTCAACTTTGCTAAAAATCCATTTTAACTTCTCCTAGCTTTGCAGCCCATCACCACTTAGTCTTATGAAATACAAAACCATGCTTGCCTACTCTGAAATCTCCATTTCGCCATCTATGCCAGGATTTGAAAATCAAGACCATCCAAAAGTTCTCTAAGACAGAGAATCTACTTTGTCCCCTGATGGTCCATGGCCACTGTCTCAGCTCCCAGTTGGGGCCGTAACAAATCACCACCAACTTAGGAGTGTAGACAAAACAGGCACAGTAAGGTTTTGGATCCAGAACACAAGACTGAAGGCCTCACTGGGCTGGCATTAGGGTCAGCGCAAGTATTTCCAACTGAGTACTGGCCAACTGCCACCGGCCACCTAGAGGCACACATGCATGAGTTCCGATGCTTAGAATGAGAACATCTTTAGGGGCGACCTCCCTCCCCAAAGACTCAGTGAAAAGTAATTCATTTTCCTCATAGTCTGCTGTCTCATTTTCTCCTTAGCACAGTCCCCTACCTAGTTCTTAAAGCTTTCTTTTCCTCCCTTCTCCCTAGATCATGCATTACATCTGGGCAAAGGTCTAAAACCTCTGAAACCCTTTCTACGCCCCCAATTTATTGGACCTGCAAGTCAGTGTTGAAGTTCTTGAAAATACATCACCTGCTCTTTGAACAGAAGAGTGCACAGCTCTGCCTCTGTACCGGGGACAACAAACACTGCAGATCTTGGAATGCTCACAGAACATTCCTCGCAGCACTCAGTGCCGAACCTCCAAAATCAGGGTCCGTCTCCTAAAGCTTTGGCTACCTGATCATCCAGTGGGCACTATTCCATGTTCTTTGGCATTCTGGCACATCATCCTCACCAGGGGTAGGGGTCATCTCAAACTACTCTTTGCTCTTCTGCACAAAGGAACTTTCACTCACAGGGACTGCAGTAGTCCAGTCACATGCCCAGGGCCCTTCCAATATACTTCTGCTATCCCATCATGCCCACTGATGCCTAGAAACTCTAAAGTCATCCATAAGGGCCAGATCCAGCTACTGTGAACTTGGTATTTTCA